TATATATATTGTAAAGCCCTATCACTTATTTGAATGCTATGATGAAACTGGCTCTGAAGAGGGGCTCCCTGGAAAAGGCAAAGGAATAAGGCTGACCTCTGTTGCAAAGGATAAGTTCATTGGCAATATCAGCCAGAATTTTACAATTAAAAGCACAGACCAGCTCACATTAGAGCACACATAAGGATTTTCCAGAGTTTCTTTTTGTGATTCATGCCACGCAAATAAATCCTAGCTGAGAGAACCAAGTGCTGCTTAAGCTAAAAATACAAGAAAGAAAATTAGGCCAATGGAAACTTAGACCTTGAACGGTCCATTCTATGACCAAAGTAACAGCAGGAAACAGCACTGTATCATGTGAGCTAGCCCTTACAAAACACCTAATGTGAATCCATATGAAACTTTTTGGGATGAGCTGGACCAGAGAGTAAAGGGAAAGGAGTCAAGAAGTGCATGTATTTGAATTCCTTCACGACTGTGGGAAAAATATGTGAGATGACATTGTCATTGTTTTTTTTTTTCAGGGGGAATAGTTACTTATTTGTTTATTTAGTTAGTCAATTGGTTTTGATATGTTCAGCTTTGTTTTAGTATTTTATTTAAAAAAAATTTAAAATAATTTACAATATGAAAATGGCACTGAATTTATTAATGGATGAAAATGTGTCTAAGTTTTGTTGTTTTTGCAGAGTATTCTATACCAGGTTTTAAAGCCCATTAAAGTTGGGATGTGACCCAAATTTAGACGTTTTTAAGATAGTTTCTTTTTTTTCTGTTTTATCATCATGTGTAGGACCTGGTTCCAGTGGCAACCCCTGTTCACAGACCTATCGTGGACCCAGAGCTCAGTCTGAGTCTGAGGTCAATTCCATTGTGAGATTTGTGAACTCTCACAACATTAAGGCCTTCATCTCCATCCACTCCTATTCTCAGTTGCTCATGTTTCCCTATGGCTACACCAGGACTCCGATCAAGGACTATACTGAGCTGGTAAAAAAATAAATAAAGAAAAGAAAACCTTAAAAAATGTTTTCATGATCAAATTGGGTCTAGTACCAGTCATTTAACCTCTTAGACCTTGTGTTTGCCTGTAATGTAAACATGTATAACATTAATTTGAAAAAGTTTGATGGAAGTCTCTTGATATAGGATAACCTAGCACAAAAGGCTGTCACTGATCTGGCGTCCCTGTATGGTACTTCCTACAAATTTGGTAGCATCATCAACGCCATCTGTAAGTGTCTGCAAAACATCTTAAAAGGGAGACATGTTTGACCACACTGAATATTTATGTTTTTTTCTTGCTCGCTTTTGTCTTACAATATGACTGGTGAAAGGAAAACACTTACCAATCAAAACTACTACTATTTGTGTTCTACTGCTATCAAAATCAACATGTAAAGTAATTATTAGATATTGAAAACTAGTGACTTAGCCATCAAAAAATCCCTGTTTTGTACTTATGGTAAAACTGCTTGTTTGTAGACCAAGCCAGTGGTGGGAGCATTGACTGGGCTTACAACCAGGGAATCAAGTACTCGTACACCTTTGAGCTGAGGGACACCGGCCGCTATGGCTTCCTCCTCCCTGCATCTGAGATCATCCCCACCGCTCAGGAGACTTGGCTGGCTCTGATGACCATCATGGATCACACCCTCAAGAACCCATACTGATCTGTGTACAAATATAACCACTTAAGCATCATCTTCAAGACTAAAATCACAGTTGTTATATTCAGTGGATTTTTAGCCATTGTGAAAGTTACAAAGAAATAAATGATCATGCATTGAAATTGGTACTTCCATGTATTATGATTTAATTTAGGTTCTATTGCACAAATACAGTATTTATGCAAGATTTATCTTTTTTTTTTTTTTTTACAATTACTAAAGGCACTATTGAACCTTTTTTTAAACTGCATTTTACATTTACAGTGGTGTGAAAAAATGTGTTTGCCCCCTTTCCAATTTCCTATTTTTTGTATGTTTGTCACACGTTATTGTTTCAGATCATCAAACAAATTTAAATATTACACAAAGTTAACACAAATAAAGACAAAATGCAATTTCTAAATGAAGGTGTTTAATATTAAGGGGTTAAAAAATGAAAATCCACATAGTCATATCCTTTGAACTCGAGTCTATCACTAAGGCTGATTATGTGTGCACCGCTACTATGTCTGGTCAGTTAGCCATCACCATTTTGTCTGTAACTGGAAGTTCCACAGGATCTTAGCTCGGCCATTCTCAACAACACTAGGGGGTATATCCCATTCTTGTCATGGATCGCTGTGTGGCAGGCAGGAGGAGGACCCAAATTGCAAAACTCACAGACTCGGGGATGAACTCAAAAATCACAGCTTTAATGCTGGAGAGGCAGAACGTAGGAAATACAAAACTTAAACTGGGAACCATAAACTAACACTCGCAGAGAGACACAGGGAAATCCACGCAGCATGAGGGAGAACGCGACACAGAACTGAGGGAGACGCAGACATAAATACACAGAGGGTTAACGAGGGAATTGGGAGCACACGGGGAACACAGGTGACACTGATAATCATAACAAGACACGGCAGGAGTGAACACCACACTGGTGGGAGATGGGCAAAGTAAAACAGGAAGTACAGAGGTTCAGACAGGAGGAGAGAGAGCACGGGGAGAACACAGACATAACGGGCTGGGGAAAACATAGAATAAACACAAAGAGAGACGAGGGCTCATGAATACACAGAGGGGCACACAGGGGGTAAGAGTCATGAAGGGAAAACACTTAGGGAACAACACACCAGGGCAACTCAGGAAACATGGCCTAAATAAGGAACAAAATACAAAAATACATGAAAACTAAGAACACTGGGCCAACATGGCCCAGGACCATGACAATTCTGACCTTGGGATTTCCAGACCATACTTGGCACAGATGTTCCTGTATATTATGCCAGTCTCCAGTTATGGAGGTCCATGTATGTCCTGCCTGCTAGCATCTTGCACATTGCTGTTATGTGCTGAACTGTCTCTGGGCCATTGTTGCACACCCTGCACCCAGGGTCTTGGCCGATGTGGTAGAGCACAGACTCTGTTCATCTTGTGCTATAGAGTTTGTTCCTGTGCTGCCATAATTAGTGCCTCTGTGTTGTCTTTCAGTCCAGCTTTGTCCAGCCACTGGTAGGAATTCTGGATTTCAGCCATTCCTCCTATCTTACGGTGGTACATACTGTGCAGTAGGACCTGTCTTCCATGATGGTTCCCCCCTTTGCTCCTCTTGTTTCTCAGGTTTATGCTGCCTGTGATGTTCACTAAGCACACGGTCAGCTGTGGCAAACTTCCTGATGTACTTTTTTTTCTGATCCTGGACAGTGGTTCTGATACTCATTAGTTCTTAGTGAGTGTCGTCTCATGATGCTGGATTTGGGGTGAAACCCTCCATACATGATAAGGACTTTCTCGTCTTTCTCGTCACCTCCTTTGGCAAGCTTATTATCCCAGCAGAGTACCTGATGACAAGCAGGGTGTAGGTGTTAATTGCCCAGATTTTGTTCTTTGCATGCAACTGACTCCTCAGGACTTCCCTTATTCTCTGGAGGTATTTGGTGGATGCAGCTTTCCCAATAGCTGCTTTAGTGTTCCTATTTGCCTGTGGGCTTCCCAGATACTTGTAGCTCCCCTCAGTGTCTGCAATGTTGCCTTCTAGTAGTACAATCCCACCCCAGTGGGCGCAGGAGTGATCCTTGGAGAAGACCCATTTTATTTCCCAACAAAGATGACATCTCTTGGTCAACCTTCAAGCACTGCTATCCTGTGTGATGATATTACACAATCCAATAAACTGCTTGTTTTGATAAATCAAATTAAAAACAATTAAGAGAAAAGTATGTCATAGCTGACAGCGTCAGATGCCTTTTTAGGTCAAGAAACGCTGCCCCCACAACGCTATCATCATCTAAAAATTATTTAATATTTTCAACAAAGTAGAAATTTGCAGTTTCTGTAAAACATTTTAGTCTAAAACCAAACTATACTGGATGAAGATGTCGCTTAGTCTCTAATTGATCAACTGTATGTAGCGACACTTTTCTCAAGTATCTTCGACAGAACAGGAAGTATGGAAATTGGATCATAGTTGCATATCAAATCATTGTCCTCTCCTTTAAAAACTGGAGTAATTAATACCCCTTTCCATTCATTTTCATCTTCTATTTCTAACTGACAAATTTTCAAGCTGTAAATGTCAGTAAATTCCTGTATCTTTTAATGAAACAACCTTTATCTGTAATAACTGTACCATTTAAATTTTTCCTTAATTTCCTTCCGACTCGATGATCTATTTATTAACTTATTTAAGTGATTCCAAAGTGAAATATTATGATCTTTAGCTTTTTCTATAAGAGCAGTGCAATATAAAGCTTTAGCTTTACATAATTTCAGGACTACTTTATTTCTCAGGCTTTTATATATCATGTGATCAGTGTTGATTTCGGTAGTCAATGCTGTTTTTAAAGCAAAATCTTATTTCTGTTTAAGTTTGTGTACCTCACTATTCAATCGTGGTAAAGCTGTCTCCCTTTGCTTGCATTTGATGTTTTTTGTTTGTATATATTTAATTGTTATTTCACTCAAAACGTCATCGTGGAATAACAACACAGATCCAAATTATCTATTGATGTAATATGATCGCAATTAATATTTGCAAGGTCATGTTCACATTTTGCAATTTCAGACAGAAATAATCATCTTTACTTGGTCAGAGTTTTTGGCACAAAAATACAGTCAGGAGTACATACCCTGCATGGTATGCACCACTGTCAGATAGGAGTGGTTGACATTCCTACCAGTGGCTGGACAAAGCTGGACTGAAAGACAACACAGAGGCACTAATCATAGCAGCACAGCAACAAACTCTAAGCACAAGATGAACAGAGTCTGTGCTCTACCACATCGGCCAAGACCCCGGGTGCAGGGTGTGCAACAATGACCCGGACACAATTTAACACATAACAGCAGGGTGCAAGATGCTATCAGGCAGGACATACATGAGGCACTTTAGCCAAGTGGTTAGCATAGTATACAGAAACATCGGTGAGGAGTATGGCCTGGAAATCCCGAGGTTAAAATAGAATACGTCACCTAGGCTAGTTGTATGAGGTGATGTTCCATGTGCCACATGCCAATTTTGGAAACCGGGGATCAGAGGCCCAGGACTTCCACCTCTGACTGCCGCCCCATTCACAAATCACTGATCCCCTATGTCCACTCTTCTGGGGTAGTTGACTCACAGCAGGACTGACCCAAGTAGTTTCTTCAGGCTCAACTCGGCCAGGCCCCATGGGCCAAGGCCCAAGCACCTAATGCTTGCCCTCGAGGCTCTACCCAAGGGATTCCTACAAGGTAGGACCTGTGGGATCACTTCTTTTGTTTGTTATTGGCTACCAGCTGCAAATAGAAACTATGCTCAAGTTCAGACATGTGTCTGAAATGGTCATATCAAACACTGAAATCACCGGCATCATGAAGATTCACAAGAAGAACACATTGCATTAAGCTGAAGCGAAGAATGCATTATTGTCTGTGTGGAATAAGACTCGCTTGAACCTTGTTGTCATTGCCATTTGGCCATATTTAATATAAACATTCACCACTGCAGTAGTACATATAATGTATGTGACATTTTAATTACAAAAGGTAATTTTATGCATCTCAGATGAAACCACAGCAGTACCTATGTGAAAGTAGGTGGTGGGTCAAATAAAACAAAAAAGATACAGGAAAACCATTTTACCCTTTATTTGATATTCATTACAAATAAAATCATGTAAACAATTTAAGACAGATGGTGAAAAGATGGTTAGAAAAAATGCACTTGACAGGGAAAGCACATGTAAAGTCACTAACATGCAAACAACAGGCCACAAATCACAATATTGCTCTTAAGATGTAGGCAATGCTTGTAATAAATATGCTCTGGCCACGACAAAAACGATCATATATTTTCTTTAGTGACTGATCTGTATCATGCATGTCAGTGTGAAGGTTTCCATTAATCACACAATGTGAACATTTCACAGTACTTTAGATTAAAAACATACACTAAAATGCTGAAACTGCAGTTAAAGACTGTTGGTGAACTGTCATAATAGAAAGACAAAAGTTACAAAAATACAGCACAACTTTTCAAAACCTAATAAACTGGATTAAACTCTATAACATCACTTGTGCAATACATTACACTTCATTTCATAAAGAGATTTCCAGCATATGCTTCATGTCATATTAACATTCATTTTTTTCCTGGCTCCAGCCGAAATACCAAAATATGACCAGACCATGCACAGATTTATTTGTGCAGATTTATTAGCTGGTGAAAACTGATGAATAGTGTTATACGTGTGAGAAAAGTCCTTTGATCTCAGGTTCACTTTGAAAGACTGTTAAGAAATCAACTGAAAACCGTTCAGAGTCTCAAATAAAACATCTGTGTTGTTCCTAACATAGTTTTTATATGCAGAGTCACACAACTATCTAGATTTGAATGTCTTACTAGTGTGCTGGTTGTAAAGTGATTAGCATGATATTTCCAACATACAGAAATATATTTAAGGGAAATGTTAGCATTCAGAGAACATTCTGGAGGAAAGCTGACTTTTTATTTAGTTATTTAGTTTCTTCCACAAATGATACTGGATCCAGCTGAATGCTAGATTTAACTGAAAGACATGGACTGTTATTTAGAGGTATATTTGTTAACATCTGTGGTTAAGAAAGGAGTGGGGTTATTTCCAGGATCTACTGCTCT